GCACATTGAAGGACAAGTGTCAAAAGGTATCTCATCTCTTTCCAGAGAGCAAACATAGAAGGGTGAATCTGAAGCTGTGAGAGACTAATTTTATAGTTGGTGAAGTTTCTTCCAAATTCCAAAAGCTCTCTAGTAGGAATTGGTGCCCATGGAAGACAAAGTGACTGATTTCTTGGCCAAGATATTTGCAAATTATATAACCATGGAAAATGTCCTCAATTTTCCATGACTGCCTAGGAGAAAACAAGAACTACATATAATTAAATTTTGTCAGTAGACCCATGGAATTTATATAGAAAAGACAAATAGTACAGATCTTTACATATAATGGAGATAATGTTGCCTATAAATTTTCCAGTTCATTTATTGAAATATAAACATAGTAAAAATGCTGAAGTTGCTATTTCTACATGTGTTTTTACTGATTTACTGTTTGTGGATTTAATGCTGCTATGGTTTAATATATGACATATATATTCACATGACTATACATGTATATCTTGTATATGTTCATATCATGTATGAAAATATATATCCATATATAAAATATATACATACATATATATACCCTCCTTAATATAGTTTTAGAAGTGATCAAAGTACCTCATAAAATGAACCACAAAATAATAACTATGTATTGTGTACTGAAATTTTCTGAAGAACTTTTAACATATTTTTATAAAAATGTACAATTAATATGTCATAAATCTTATCTTTGAAACCTATTGTGGAGCTTAGTGACTGTAAAACTCGATTGAAATTTTAAAAACACCTACCTTGAGAACATGCCGGCATATTAAATTTTTTTGTTGCTGTTGACTAGGCATTTAGGGACATATCCTAACAATTACTGCTAAGAACAATGTCACGGACTTTTAGTCCTGTGTTTTCTACTGCCAATTTTATGCTTTCATGTTTTATATTCATAAGTAAAACATTTCAAAGTGATTTCTGCATGTGATACGAGCTAGGACACTAACTAGAATTTTCCACAGTTGAGTGTGTAAGTTTCCCAGTACCTCTTATTGAAGAGACCACCCTTGGTCATTGTGTTTTTCTGCCATCTTTGTCAAATGATTGACTTTGAAAGTTGAAATTCATTTCTGCACCTTCTATTCTTTTCTGTTGATCTTTTATACCAATACAATACTGTTTTAATTATGGTAGCCATATGATCCATTTTGAAAATAGATAGTATGACCCTCTAGAATTGTTCTTTTTCTAAAGATTTCTTTGGCTATTCAGGCTCTTCTCTAGTTTCAAGTGAATTTAGGTTGCTTTTTCCTATTCTGTGAGGAATGATGTTAGAACTGTTACAGGAATTGCTCTGTTTGTAAATGACTTCAGGCACTTCATACAATTTAACAATATTCACTTTCCCAAACCACAGCACAGTGTATCTTTCTTTTTATTTGTTCCTTCCTCATTTTCATTCACCATTTTATATTTTACAGTTTTTAATATACAGATCTTCACATGGCTGATTAATTTTTTTTCCTAAATACCTCAAGTAGATCTTGGTGCCCATTATGAATGAGATTATTTTCTTTACTTCTTTTCTTCAAATAGCTACTTGTTAAAGTATAGAAATGCAAATAATTATATGGCTTTATTTCTTATTCTGCAGGGGTTTTTTTGGTATTCATTTGTTACTTTTCAGACTTTTTTTAGTGGTTTGTTTAAAGTTTCCCACATATAAAATCATGCCACCTGAAAGCAAAAACAAATTTTCTTCTTTTCTTCTTGGATGGTTTTTACTTCTTTTTAACGTGTAATTGCACCAGCTGCAATTTAGAGTATACTATGAAATAGCAGTGGCAGGAGTGATTATCCCTATTTTGTTTCTACTTTAAGGGAGAAGTTTTCAACTTTTTCCCACTCAGACATGTCTGATCTTTACTGGATTCAGGTCTACTCTTCAGTATGGTCTGAGAATTTTCAATCAGAAAGGATATTTATTTTAACTGATTTTTTAAACATCTTTTAGATAATCATTGTTTTGTCCACCATTTTATTAATACAATATGCCATACTTTTTCTTTTGAGTGTAGTGAACCATCCTTACACCCTAAGAATGAAACCTATTTGGCCATGAGAAGTGTATCTCTCAACAAACTGTGGATTTTTTTACTAGCATGTTGTGGGGTTTTGTACTATGTTTACCAGGCACGTTGGTATGTCTTTCCCTTTTTTTTTAATGTTCTGCTTTGCTTTGCTATCAAGTAATATTTCATGAAACAAATATGCAAATGTTCCTTTTTTAATTTTTGGAAGAATTTAAGAAGGATATGTGTTAATTCTTCTTTTTAATGTTTTGCACAATTCAGCCATGAATAGGTCAACTTGTGGTCCTTCCTTGATGGGAGATTTTTTATTATTATTAATCTCTTCGTTCATTATTGTTCTATTTATATTGATATGAACTATATTTTGATTTTAGTAATGTCCATATATCTAAAACTTCACACATTTGTTCTAAGTTACCCAGTTTCTTGTTCTATATGGTGGGCAGTTGTGTTTCCAGACCCCTGGCTTCTCTGAGATCTTTCACAACATATCTTCCTTCCAATATCACAGTTCATTCTTTAATTTAACTGCAATAAAAGGTTTATTACATTTTGTTAATGTTATATAAAAACTAATTATTTTCATTGATTTCTTTCTTTTACTTTTGCTCACATACTCTGCTCTTTGCTATTGCTTTCCTTTTGCAAACTTTGGGCTTAAATATACTAGATTAACTTTAGTCACCATTAGTACCTATTTTTCAATGTGGGATACATCATCCTAATTGTTTAGTTTTCACATATTTGAAATATTCTGAAATTTATCCCATTATTTAGTCCTAAATTCACAGTGCTGTGACTGGAAAGATATTTGATATTCCAAAATCTATGTAAATACATGAAAATATATTTGGAAGTTAAATATGTTTTATATCCTAGTAAACAAAGTGCATTCTTGAGAAATTCTGTATCTGGTTATGGCTCTTAAAATGTTCTTGTTATGTCAATTGGGCCTTTACATACACCAAAAATCAACAGATAGATAGATTGATTGATTGATACTGCCTTGAAACTTAGAAACAAATGTATATTTAAAATAACATGGCAGAACCATATCAAAAAGGAAGCCACAGGCAATTATAAGGGAAGGGCTGCTTAGTAGGTGGTGCTGGGGAAACTAGCTTAGTATCACAGGAAATGAAATTGGAGCACCAAATGAACGGAAGAGTAAGAAGAATTAGTCATCCAAATAGGAAAGATAATTGTTTTATTTTTTATTTTAAAAGAGTAAAACAAAAAAAGGCATAGAAATACAGAATCTCAAAAAAGAATAGTAGGAAATTAACACTAATTAATATATTGCATTTTGTTATCTTAGTAGTAGCTGTTCAGGTTATAAGATTTAGGCATAAAAAATGATCAAACAGTCAAACAGTGAAAGCACAAACTGTTCTTTTGGATGAACTAACACAGGTTAGTAGTATAGCTATCTATCTTGTGTATATATATGTGTGTGTGTGTGTATCTATCTGTGTGTGTGTGTGTGTGTGTTTGTGTATGTATTCCTGTGTGTTTATTTCCAGTAAACATTTTTTACTTTTTTATTTTTAAGAGATTAAGACAAAAGAGGAAATAACAAAGCAGATCAGAACAATTTAAGCAACACAGTATTTCACCACAAGACAACCTGATATAACAATAGCTACCATAAAGTCTCTTTCTTTGAAATAGTTGAGCATACTTTTTTACACAATCGTATCAAACATAACAAAATAGTATAAAACCATTCAAGAGAGTGAAAGCATTACAGGGCATTCAGAACCAAATAACAGAAAACGAACAATGGCCACTATATTGTCTCATTGTCCATAAAAAATTTGTTTATAGTATCTCACATAATAAAATCCAATAAGATACTACATGATAGGAAAGATAAAATTTTTAAAGGCATGTTTCCATTGTTTAAAATTGGAAAATTCTAAATTACAAAAATTTATTTCACTCAGATCTATTTCTTTATAGTGTTTAAAGAGGAATATGTTGAGATGGTTTAATGACAAGGTGTCATTCCCTGTAATAAAGTATTTTTAATTTAGATAGTCACAGTATCTTTCAGTCAACTTCATATGAAGCTGACCCTTGTGTATTTGAGAAAACAGTCAGTGAAAACATCACTAGTACATGTAATCAAAGTAAAATTACTGAATTACATACTTGACTTTTGCTTGCTTGGCTATTCGCCGTTGGCAGTGTCACTGAAGGCCAAGGTAATATCATAAACATTCTATCTTACAAAACACAAGCCATGTCCATGAGCCTTTTCTCCTTAGCTACCTTTTAGCTAGGAAAGGTCCCATCATAGCAAAAGACCAGAAAGTGCCAAACGACAGAGAAGGAATGTCCTGTCCACATATTAGTACAAAGGTTCTCAGTGAGACCTCATTGTCTTCTTCATTTGTTCCTCCTCCAGTTCCACGCCTGGGTATTAAAAGGACACTGGTCTTTCTAGGCAACCACTGGGAAACCATAAGTATAGAAGTAAAGAAACAAGATTAAGAACAGGAGGAAGAGAGGACACCGTGCCAACCCTTTACGATTTCTTTGAGAGGTTTACATAAACCCATGTACAGCCTTCAACGTTTCTTTCTCACGTCGGACCAAAAGCTCAGTTTTAATTAATATGTTTATGTCTTCACTACCAGTTTGTAAACCTATGAAGTCAATCATTGCTGTTTTAATTGATTAATTTTAGGGACCAATTTTCTATCTTATTAGTCTCCCTAGCCCTTTGCTTTATCCTCTCAAAACACAAGACTTCAAGCACAGCAGTTGCCTTCATGCTGAAATGCGAAAGGAGTCCATTAACATACAAAGAATTATAAAATATATAAAAATGTTGCTGTTTGGATTGAAAGAATAAAAATCATGGTCTAGAGACTATCAGACCAAAAGTCAAAAATTAATAGTGACAGTAATTCATCACAGACTTCCTAGTAAATAATTTATTAAGAAGTTTATTTTGTTACATTTTATTATCTGTCAATTACATAAGCTTGCTATGCTTCTGAGATAGTTACAGCAAAGACAAATTTCAATAATTTATATTTGCATATTTGACATTATAGCATATGTCTTCAGTAATGTGATAAGAGGACTCGGCCTAAATGAAGTAGAAACAGTTAGATGTTAATTCAGTTGCACATCTGACAACTAAGCTTTTTCTCGTTTTGAAGTTATTGGATGGAGGAAACATTTCATCCAAACTTGCCTCACAGTGGTTACTTCAGAGACGAAGCATTTCTTGGCACAGTGATTAGCAGCAAGAGGAATAGCATTTTCTGTAGCAAAAAGGTCGGTAGCTACAGCAGCCAGAGTTGTATCCATAGCCATAGCCACAGCCAGGGCGATATCCACAGCCAGAGCCGTATCTACAAGAGCGGTATCCACAGCCAGAGCCACAGCCAGATCCATAGGTGCAGCCATAGCCGCAGCCTCCACAGGCGTTTCTGTAGTAGTTGCAACACATAGTGTCAGGGAGGTGAGTTTTCAGTTGAAGGATAGGGCACTTCTCAAGAGTGAAATCCTACAGTCTCCCAGCCCCTTTTATACTTCACAGATGGGTCATACCTCACATGGTCTCTCCTCTGGCATTTTACAGCTGTGTGTCTAAGATGAGGTCACTCTGTACCTGCTCATTTTGCTGGAAATATTGCACTCACAGGTGTCCTAAGAATCTAGCAAGCCTTTAAGGAAATACACGTGTACTCTCAATGCATAAGGAGCAATGATTTCAGGCTCCATCACATCATTCCATGACCATGACATGACACAACACATTACCAAAATCAGGTCCACCCATAAATACATGTTTCTTTGTTATTCAGTTGCTTTAGAGTCCTGGAAATTTTCTGATGAGCAACAATCTGCAGAGTCAAAGTTACTACACCATTAACAACAGCAAGGTCAACTGCAGGGGCTGTAAAATCATCAGGATTTGTTTGTTTCCTGTCCCCTATTTTTAACATCAGAATCACACTGAATTACTTTTTTAATTATACAGCTGAGTGTTCTCACACACTGCAATTGCTCCATGAAACTTACTCCTTCTCTTTGAAAGAAAAGTTGTCCAACCTGTCCCTGACCAAGCAGGTTCCTCCGCGCTTGAGATTTTGTTGAATTCCTGAGAGTAATGGAAGGAGATTTATCCTGAGTTGCTTTAGGGAACAAGTTTCCAAGGATTCAATTTAGAGTGCAAAAGTTGGCTTTGCTTGAGTTCTTTCTAGCTGAGGTCATGTAAGTTCAATTCCTGAATACGTGTCTCTGTGACATTCTCAGGAATGCCACCCCTTGGAATAATTAACCCATAGTTAGTTCTTCCGGAATAATGCTTCTGATGGGAAAATGGAGAACTGGTTTCATTATAGGGTCAACATTTCTATTAGAAGGAACACTATCTAGTTCTCTATTGCACATAAGGGTGAATACAATGAATGGTAGTGCATTATGTATTTCCACATGACAAAATGAATGCATTTTACAATGATTTTACCATGATAAATTGTGAATATATGAATGTCAATTAACTTATTCACCCCAAACAATTTTAACTTGGTCTTACTTTTATGTTCCAAAATAGTTTTGATTAGGAATATTTGCTTACTTTATTTAATTTATTCTAGAATTATTAAATAAGTGGTAGTAGATTATTCATTGGAATTTTTTATTCAACCTTACTTTTAATTTCAAATCACCTTCCCAAATTGTTTCTATGAAAAATGAGTATCAAGTCTGTGTGATCTATCTTATATTCCTATTTTATTTATTCCTATTTATATGAATTTTATCATATAAATTATCTTGAATTATCATATAAACATAAACAACTCCTGAAAATAAAAGCCTTTGAGTTTGTCTTGTTCTGGTGAGGAGACACAAACTACACAGTAGGTCATTCATGAGAGATTACCATAAGAAAATTAGAATATAAAGAGTGAACTTAATGTATTTTTACATGATGAAACTGAATAGAGTACCACAAAGCTGTGGAAAACATTCAAAAAGGAAAATACTAAATGAAGTACACAGAACCACAGTATGAATGGATTACACATATCCAGTCATGGCTAAATTTCTGCGGCTAAAGGCGGCAGAAAAAATCAAAGGTAGCTATCAAATTGTTTCCATTGTTAGAAAAATAATCAGAAGATGAAGAATATTTTGGAGCTGGTGAAGATATTTATGATTTTATGGGTGATGTACTCACTAGTGTATGCACTGTGTACACTAAGGAACATCATACACTAAATATGTTTAGTTCTTTATATTGACATCTAAATGAAGCTGATAAGAATAAACATTGACAAATAAATGAATCTAGTTCTGTTGAATTAAATCAAACTTCTGGAGGACAGGTGGTGCTGAAGTGACCATCAGCTGGACGTAGAGACACGCTGATGGCTGGGAACGATGGGTCACCGGAATATTCTGCAGGATGTCCTGGTGTCTATCTGAACAGCAGGCTGCCCACAGAGATCCTGCATGAGAGGCCTTCAGGGTGCTTCTTTCTTGGTAGAAGGGACAAAAGATTAGAGCCAGGCTGAATCTCCAATATGAATGAGCTTCTGTCACTTTCTGGACCCAATGATGACTTAGACCCCAGGAGATGTCCTTGCAGTCCGCTGTGCCAACACGCTCAACTTTTCTCCAGGACCACAGGCAGAACTCCAGCAGAATCAGTGCTGCTGTCAGCAGTCATGCACATCCTCACCTGGGAAAGCTTGAAGTCCTGAGCACAGTTAAGGAGAAATGTACAAAGAAATCTTATCTCTTCTCAGAGAGCAAATACTGAAGGTGAGTTTGAAGCTTAGAGGCAGTAAACTGATTACTGCTTAAAGATTTCTTCCGTGTTCCAGAGGTTCTATGGTAGAAACTGTATTCTTGGAAAACAGAATGACTGATTTCTTAACACATTTCCTAATGCTACTGTGTTAATGAGTTTTCAATTCATTAAGAAAAATACCAAAGAAAATCAACTCAAATGAAGAAAGACTTATTCTGGTGCACACTGTCAGATATTTTGGCACACACCTTTAACCTTGTCATTCTAAGGCTTGTGGTGAAGTAGAAAACCTTAGTATTAGTGAATAGCACAGGAAAGTGGCTCACTTCATAGTGGCTAAGAGTGAAATAAAGAGAGAGACAGAGAAAGAGACACACGTACACAGAGAGAGAGAGACAGAGGCGGAGACAGAGACAGACACACAAAGACACAGAGAGACAGAGAGACAGAGAGAGACCCTAACATGATAGCTCCCCAGAGCATAAATTCCCAATCCACTCCTGAGGAGTAGATTCTTCTCTCTATATTTTCATTGTCTCTCAAGAATCGGATCAGGTTATAAACCCATCAGTGGATGAACTCACCAGAGAATTTAGATCCCTCTTAAATGGTAATCTTCCAAAACATCACCTGTGAACGTTGCTTTACTAGAGAGCGACCTTTCACAACAGGAGACTGTTGGCAATATTATCTATTAAAGCCACAACAATCACCATAGAAAACAACTTTACCTTGTGTGAATATCAACTTCTTAATAGCCCTATGGACAAAACCAAAATTATATATGTTTAAAATTTTGCTAGGAGCTATGTGAGAGTATATAAAGAACATAAAGGGAAGGTAACAGATCTCTGTATACAATGTTAATATTGTAGTCTATTTTTTCTCCCTTTCATTCTTACAAATTAAAGTACTCTCAAAAAACACCTTATTTCCACATTTCTCTGTGTACTGGTACTCCTGTGTGTTTATTTACTAAAATTTGAAGATTCATTTTAATATTATAATTATTTAATATATCTCATACATATACATTCATAAGTATATGTATCTTATATATGCTTATCTTATTTGCATATGTCGATATTTAATAAGTTTTAAATTGTGATCAAACCTTTCAAAAGGTGATCTACATTGTGATTGAATTGACTGTACTTTGCTGAAAGTACTGTGATAATATACTGATAGCAAATACAGATTACTCTTTTTACTCTTCCTACATTAGAAATTCTTATTTTATTGGCTAGTAAAATCTGACATGAAGTCATGATGTATAATACAATGTTCATAGTGTTTATATACAAAGTGTTATATATGTACATTATAAATATACGTGGTTTATTATATGATATCAGTATATAAGACATATATGCATTGGGCAGTGATCCAATTAAGTTATTCATTATATGATTTATCTGAAGTATTTATCGTTTTGTGGGTATGAGAACACTTAAATTCTACTTTAAACAAACTTTCAGTAATAGTTCAAAATTGTTGCCTACATTCACTACATATTGCCCTTCAAAAGTTGCTGATCTTAGAAGTAAAACCACATGTCCTTTGACCAGTGTCTCCTGTTTCTCTACAAGACATGTATATTTATGTTTTCCATTGACAAATCTTCATTACTCTTTTTTCATTGACATACTTGCTTACTTACAGAATGGATTGATTTCCATAAGAATTTTGAGTGTTATCGCCCGATCACAAGTAAGTTTGGAACAAACCTGCCATTCTATAGGCTTTCTCTTCACTTCATTGATTACTTCGTGTGTTATGCAGAAGTTTTTAGACTGGAGTAAGTCTATCTGGTTACATCATTATCTAAACAAGCAAAGTAGAGCTTTTCCATTACGTTTTATTCCAGCAATCTTATATTCTCATGTTACATAAACATATTTGTGTCAGACCCTTTGGAAATCATTTTGTACATAATAGGAGATGAAAGTTTCATTTCTTTCTTCTGCAGGTGAGTATCCAGATGTCTAGCACCATTTATTGAAAAGGATTTTTCTTCATTGTTTATGCCTATCATCATTATCAAAAACCAATTAAATCTGTGTGAAGATTTGTTTCTAGGCTCTATTTTATTCCATTGTTCTTCTTTTGCAGATATGACTATGCTTTGGTTATTAATGGGTTGTAGCCAATCTTGAAGTAAATCAGTATCAAACTTTGATTTTGTTGTGATTTATTAAATGTTTCCTAGCAGTTTCACAGAATTGTGGACTTTTTGTCCAACATATTTGAAAAGTGGCAAAAATAATTTATAGGTGTAGTATAAGACAATACGTAAGCTATTAACTAGTGATTTACTTTTTCTTTTTTTGAAATTCTGTATTACTTGTACCCTTTTTCTGTTTTTTTTTCTTTTTCTCTTTAAACAAAATATAAAAAAGACTAAATCTGTACATGGTGTTAGGTCTTTTGACCATTTTAGCAATTCTTCATAAACATAACCATGCCATATGTTTCCACTTATTTTTGTCTTCAACAATTTTATTACCAATATTTTAGAGATTTAAGTGCACAGATCACTCTCCTCTTTAATTAAATCTATTCCTAAGTATTTCATTTTGTAGTTCTTGCTAATGAGATTATTTTATTGATTTCTTTTCAAGTAGCTGAATAATAATGTGTCTAATCATTTAGTATGTTGATGTTGTATTTCTTTTGCAAGTTTGAATTTTTTCAGTGTCTTTTCTTTGTCTTTGAGAGGAGTCTATGTGTTTTTCCCTTGATTCTGTTAATGTAGTATATCACAATTATTAATATGAAGTCATTGA